GGGTGCTTTATCAACGACTTCGTCGACTGTGTGTCAACGATAAAGCCACGCTCTCTTTGAGCCACTGCAGACATGCATTATCTCGACATGTTGAAGCTGTGTTTAATTGTATTCTATCTATATCTATTTTTATATTATATATTTATATCCATAGCATTTCCATTTTTATCTTTTACATGTATTTTTTGTTAATGTACATCAGCTTCTGCTGTAACGAAATCGGCTACTGAACTTAATTCTACAATGTCGCAGCAAATGTAGTATTGTATCGTCGGAAACATTTCTTAGTTTAACGAATTTCTTCATGTTGTGCTGATGGTAGGAAAGCGAGTGAATAAGTATGGTTTTACGCCGTTTTTAGCAATATTCCAGCAATATCACGGCGGAGAACCCCAGAAATGGGCCTCACACATTGTACCCATGTGGGGAATCGAACCCGGGGCTTCGGCGTGACGAGCGAACGCTTTAACCACTAGGCTTTCCCACCATCCCTGATGGTATGACAAAGTTCACGTCACAATATTCGACTACTGGTTATGATGATGATGGTTTGAGGTTTAACGTCGGCTTCTGGCTGTAGCCACTGGTTATCAGTGACTTCCTATATATGTACTTAGTTTCTGATGCTCAATGATTGAATTGTAAGTACTCAAAATTGTTTTAAACATTTAAAATATATCACCCTTAAAACACACAAGCAGAACTCGTAGCTTCTCATGACATGAACTCTCAACAAACAAATAATGAATTGCTGTGGCCTTATTTGCCAGATTTAGAGCATAACTAACGGATTACAAAGATGCCCCGGTCGGTATATCCGGGGGTGACTCAATTTCCGTTGCGGAAGGATATTCGTAAAAACATACATGGGAATTATTTTCTCCTATATAAATGTTTTAACATTTTCGAGCATGGGAGTAAGTGTGAGTTTAATTTCCTCACGTGAAAAGCTCTCCTATGTATTTAGAACAGGAATCTGTTATACAAACCAATTTGGCGACGGGGAAGCCTAGTGGTTAAAGTGTTCGCTCGTCACGCCGAAGACCCGGGATCATTTCCCCTTATGGGTACGATGTGTGAAGCCCATTTTTGGTGTCCTCTCGCCGTGATATTGCTTGAATATTGCAAAAAGCGGCGTAAAACTAGTCCCAATCACTACAAATCGATCTCTGTCATAAGACGGCCGCAACTGCCGTACTTTAACTTAGAGATAGGACAATCGTTGTGTTAAGATGACTTTGTGGAAAGGGGAGTTTACACCCATGAGCACGGGGATAGTGGTGACAGGCCAATAAGTATATAACCGGGGCAAATATTTGAATACCGAACCCACAATTACCGGATCCTGGCTCAGCTAAGGGACACAAGTTCTTAACAGTGAGTTGTGACGCATGAAACAACCAGTCAACTTGTGTATCTCTTAAATAAATAACTAAATAAATAAATAAATAAATAAATAAATAAATAAATAAATAAATAAATAAATAAATAAATAAATAAATAAATAAATAAATAAATATTTAACGATTTGTTGTTGAACTGCTCAGGCTGCACGTCACTGAATGGATTAATCAGATGCTGACGTTAGTCCACGAAGTATTTCGTTAATTTGAACGATAAAGTAAACATACAAACCATCACATGTCACGATGTGAAGACGATGTGTTTGACACACCCATGCGCGTTCTATGTTATAGTCTTGCTACCTGAGCGCTATCTGCGGCAACCTAGCAAACACTGGGTATTAAGGCACTATTCCTCGAGGTACGGCTATACCTGATATCACTTGAATTAAAACCACCAGGGACTTTGACTTGTCTTGACTCAACGTGTAGGTTTAGATAACAGTTTTTAATCATTTTTGAAGGTTTATGTTTCCCCGCTGTGTGACTGTTTAACCAGCTTATGGGTTTATATCAGTACATGCTGATAGCAGTGATCAGAAGGGGCCAGACAATGCATGTACCCTTCCGAGCGTTCAAACAGAGATGGGGTAATATTAGTTGCATACACCCGGAGAGTAATTCGGGTATTGTGAAATCTTGAACTGGTTCATTTAAGTACTCCCTCTACCAGACTAATACCCACTACCCAGCACATCCACATCCAGACTAAGAACCACTACCCAGCACGTCTTCACCAGACTCAGCCCCACTACCCAGCACGTCCCCACCAGACTAAGAACCACTGCACAGCAGTCCCTCCATCAGACTAAGCCCCACTACCCAGCACGTCATCACCAGACTAAGCCCCACTACCCAGCACGTCCGCATCCAGACTAAGAACCACTACACAGCAGTCCCTCCATCAGACTAAGACCCACTATCCAGCACGTCCTCACCAGACTAAGGCCCACTACCCAGCATGTCCTCACCAGACTAAGACCCACTACCAGTCACGCCCCACAGACTAAGCCCCACTACCCAGCACGTCCCCACCAGACTAAGACCCACTACCCAGCACGCCCCACCAGACAGACCCACTACCCCAGCACAGACTAAGCCCCTACCCACCAGAATAAGGCCCACTACCCAGCACGTCACCACCAGCACCAAGACCCACTACCCAGCACGTCATCACCAAACTAAGACCCACTACCCAGCACGCCCCACCAGACTAAGACCCACTACCCAGCACGTCCCCACCAGACTAAGGCCCACATCCCAGCACGTCATCACCAAACTAAGACCCACTACCCAGCACGCCCCACCAGACTAAGACCCACTACCCAGCACGTCCCCACCAGACTAAGGCCCACTACCCAGCACGTCATCACCAAACTAAGACCCACTACCCAGCACGCCCCACCAGACTAAGACCCACTATCCAGCACGCCCCCACCAGACTAAGACCCACTACCCAGCACGCCCCACCAGACTAAGACCCACTACCCAGCACGTCCCCACCAGACTAAGACCCACTACCCAGCACGTCCCCACCAGACTAAGACCCACTACCCAGCATGTCCTCACCAGACTAAGACCCACTACCCAGCACGTCCCCACCAGACTAAGACCCACTACCCAGCATGTCCCCACCAGACTAAGACCCACTACCCAGCACGTCCCCACCAAACCAAGACCAACTACCCAGCATGTCCCCACCAGACTAAGATCAACTACCCAGCATGTCCCCACCAGACTAAGACCCACTACCCAGCACGCCCCCACCAAACCAAGACCAAATAACCAGCATGTCCTCACCAGACTAAGACCCACTACCCAGCATGTCCTCCATCGCAGAACGAGGCCCAGGGCGCCAACATAACACCAAGAAAATAAATTACGCTGTATTCTCGCGCCGACGACAATACATCAGTGTAAAATGTGACAGCAATGTATTCAAACGGCTGATAATGATCCTTAGTTCCTTCATTTATTTCCCGACACTGTCACATAATCCGTAACTACCCTGTGATCTCCCTATCAGCGTCCGTGCAGGGGGGATTAGTCTGTCGTACAGACCCTGAAGTAAATATATCCAAGAAAGCCCACGCAAGTCTAGATTTCCTCAGCTTCTGAAAATGAAGAAAGTCTCAGGGCTCCTTTTCATTATATTATCATTTTTTTTACTATGAACTTTTTTTCCAGTAAAATATGTTCATTTCAGAGAATAGTTGTTAGTCTAAGGGGGGATCAGCTGACCCAACTGCCCTCCCTACTGTCTGACCAGTTCAACCCCACTGTATCGTCCTGGGGCCATGGAAGCGGGTGTCTTTGCTGTTACAGCATCCACCCTCGGGCGCTAGGTGCGCGATTGATGACTTCACGGCTTGGGTTATGTGATTAAACTCATATACATTTCAAACGCCACGTTATCGCGCCTACCTGTCCGCTTGAAGGAGATACTTGTGTGTTTATAATGTGTTCTACTTCACAGGAGATTAAAGCCGGGCGTGTCCAGAGCTCAGAGTTTTAGTGACGGGGATAGACATGGCCGACAATGTTTCGTCGCGTCTGACAGTGTACCGTCCTATTTGTACCCTCGCTACTATACCACCATATAGACTACTGGATACCGTAACATACCACTTAAATCTGATAACGAGTTTTGATATCCAGGGACGTAGGGGTAGCCTTGAGGTTAAAGCGTCCTCTCGTTACGCAGGGTTCGATTCAGAATAGTGCTAAAAGCGGCGTAAAACCTCACTCACTCTCTCATACTCCGGCACAGCGATGACTTAACATAATATCACTGCCACAGGCTAATTTGCATATCATGTGAACGGACTTTTCTCTTGTTTGTAATCAAACGCGCATATTCATAATAAGAAGAGACTGGACTCACGAAAGCTTTTCGGCGCTCTCTTCATAACGTTTTACATTGTTACATATATATTCTTCCACAACTGCGACAGTAAGGTTTATGACAGTACATATTTAGATATCAAACTGGCTGCATCGTTTGCTCTCCATCAGCTTCGATGACAGCACGTGGAGCCGTACAACCTATGTAGACAAAGGATCGCTACGCAAATCAAAATATTGTTACATGTTTTTGGATATTTTCTCAGTGAAACCATTCTATTAAAGATGTTTAGTTAGATGTGTAGACTTGTCAAAAATAAAAGAGTAAAAGAAATCTGTACATTATATTGAATGGACATTGCAAGGTGTGACGAATCATCACATTTTTCTGGCCTGTGGCAGAGGTACTATCCTGGTTGGCCGCATGGAACTCTGGGTAGGAGAGTGTCACTCTCTCTCACCAATCCACTCACTCACTCCGATACTCTTTCCTATACTCACTCACTCCGATATATATGTGGGGACTGAACGAGGCTGACTGCTTGAACCTGAATGGCATTCAATATTGCCACGAAACTGATCATCTTCCAGAAACATTATTAGTTGGAATAGCACGTGCATTCTTCCATGACTTTATACTATTGGTTTCCTAGCAATATGGAATTCTTGAAATACATATGTGACGTCATTTCAATTGTTTTCATGAATGGAAAGTTGTTTGTCAGTTATGCATTATGTTGAATCAACATGTCAACGTAATTTACACTAATCAGTAATGATACATAAACGGAACTATTTTACTGCATTTTCACAAGTGGATGATTCTAAATCGAGCAGGATTCGAATCCACATTGTTCTATTTGAGGACGTCTAATTGCCGCATGACTGAACAAACTGAAATGAACTTTTCAATATTTTCAAATATTGGCATAATTATTTAATCTAAAAAAACCTTGTGTTTCAGCAGGTCACTTATTTGTTCATATTTAAAGCAATTGGATTAAACTTTGACTAGAGAAAGATCAGGTAAACATAGATAGCCTTGTTCATAGCTCCAAATTTCCTATAATCCGCGTCAATACATATTTACAGTGAGTGAGTGAGTTTAGTTGTACGTCGCTTTTAGCAATATTCCAGCAAGATTACGGCGGGGGGCACTATGGAGACGGGCGGACGCCTTAACCACTTGGCTACCCCACCGCCCCGCACGTATTTGTGCAAGCAATTCATAGGACAGTAGGACAGGACGCAACGAAATTATGAAGCACCATGCACTGCAAATCTCATATCGTGACGGAGCTTGGTCCACGTGCAGCATCGTCAGAATTTATCCCTCGATCATCGCGCAAGGATGTCTCACACAATGCAAATGTAAGAGAGTTCTTCTATAATTTCTAAATATTCTCCACAAGAGAAATGTTTAAAAGTAGGCATGTTTTTAAGCTGAATAGACTCGTGATTCTCCAAACCTTAAATGATGGGCCTGGGTTCCCTTGTATATAGTGAATGGAGGTACGCTCCATTTTTTAAATATATCTAATAAGACTGTTCAGGATTCGTTCGTCCTGTTGATTTCATAAAGAGACCGCCAGTCCCTTATACATGTTTGTTTGTTGGTTAAGTGGGTGCTTTACTACTACTACTACTACTACTACTACTACTGCTGCTACTGCTGCAGCTGCTGCAACTACTACTACTACTGCAGCTGCTGCTGCTACTACAACTACTACTACTACAACTACTACTACTACTACTACTACTACTGCTGCTACTGCTGCTGCTACTACAACTACTACTACTACAACTACTACTACTACTACTGCTGCTGCTGCTACTGCTGCAGCTGCTGCTGCAACGACTACTACTGCTGCTGCTGCTACTACTACTACTACTGCTACTGCTACTACAACTACTACTACTACTACAACTACTACTACTACTACTACTACTACTACTGTAGTCCTCTTAATGTTTCCACGGCCGTCACTGCGCTAGTCAGCATCAACACAACACATTCTTCAAGAATCTCAAACTACTGTCACTGAGCAAATATACCTGTAGGACGATCCTCAAGTGTGAGTAACTCGTCATTACGTTCACTACAAGCTGTGTAACTCCCCGCCGCTCCTCCAGAGTCAGCCTTAATCTCCAGCTACACCAGCAACATCTCCACCAGCAACATCTCCACCTGTACTGTGAGTGTTCTGGCCTGTCAATGGCAGCAGTATGTCAGGATGTAATCGATGTTAAGTCACAGGTGAGCCACAGGTAAGGTGAGTGAGTGAGTTTAGTTATACGCCGCACTCAGCAATATTCCAGCTATATGGCGGCGGTCTGTAAATAATTGAGTCTGGACCAGACAATCCAGTGATCAACAGCATGAACATCGATCTGCGCAATTGGGAACCGATGACATGTGTCAACCAAGCCAGCGAGCCTGACCACCCGATCCCGTTAGTCGCCTCTTACGACAAGCATGGGTTACTGAAGGCCAATATTCTAATCCGGACCTTCACGGGTCCACAGGTAAGGTACGGATGAGATCCTGTGAGTCGGGTGAGACACGTATGTATCGCAAGTGAGATCAGGTGAGACGTGGTAAAAAACACAGAAAAGATACGGACGAGATTCTGCTGAGATACACGTGACACACATGTGAGACGCACTCAGCAATATTCTTGTAAATAATCAAATCTGGACCACACAATCCAGTGATCAACATCATGAGCATCATGTTTGGGATAACTGTACGATTGATCAATCACTTCTCCTTGAACGGTTACACTTAGATGCACTCCGCACCATATGTGGCGCGGTTCGCGGAACTAGTCATGAAAAATTATATCTTGAAACTAATTTTAAACCATTAAAAGAAAGAAAGCGTGACATCAAATTGGTAAACTTTTACAAAATGAATAACAATCTCGCCCCAGGCTACTTATGTGACCTTGTACCTAAAACTGTCTCTGACAATAGTCAATACAATCTCAGAAACAATCCCAAGTTACAAACAATAAACTATAGGACAAAAACATATGAAAAATCATTCCTACCAGACACAATTAAAATTTGGAATTCGTTACCTGACGACGTCGCAAATGCTAATACAATAGGCGAATTTAAAACTGTGTTAATAAATTATGAATCCAATAATTATCTTGACCTGAATTATGGTAGCCGATTTTGTCAGATTGTACACAGTAGTCTCAAGCTCGGCTGCAGTGATCTAAATGTGGACAAAGTCAACAGAAATATATCAGCTAATGCTGAATGCGCTTGTGGATACCACAATGAAAATGTTATTCTTTATCTCTTTACATGTAAATTATATACTGCCTTTAGAAATAATGCATACTTCTATGTAAGTGGTCACAGCCTCCAAACTGTGTTATACGGAACATCGCCAACTACCAGCAAAGAATATAAGAATATTATAGAGTCTCTCCACCAATTCATTTGCAAGACTAAACGTTTCGATAATACAGTCTTAACCAAATAATAAATAACAATTAACAAAAAGTAATGAAACGTAACTGCAAGTGCGTTGTTAATTACAATTCTCAATACACATACGATGTTACTATTTTAGTTTTACATTTTGTCTATTTCATTCTGTCTTTTGTCTAGTTCTTGTGTGTTCTGTTTGTGTTATATTTGTACTGGTGAGGTATTCACAAAAGCAAAGCTTTGCTTGTTTACCAAACCAGATTCTTTCATGAATAAAAATATGTTTAAACCATCATGAGCAAATGACGTGATAGTACAGCACAATGACACTGGTACACTGCGAAAGGAGTGTATGATTGCTCCAATTCATTTTAAACGTTTCAAAGTTCGAGTCAATTGACCTGTGAACAATGGTTGTTGCCAAAATTTGATTTTCAAGTATCTGTTTGTGACACTGAATGTATCCCTATCTATAGATTACATCACTATTCTAAACCCCCTGTCTATCTGTACATAGAAGACCGCATTGTTCCAGTGGTCTCTATCACGTATCTAGGATTAACTGAATTACAACAGTACACGGTTTAAGACATATGTAAACAGTGCTCCCATTATGTAACAGGTTCTTTGATCACGACAAGGCCTGGCTGCGCTCTAGTGGATGACCTTTGACGCCAGACATGATGAAGAGGTTACTACGGTAGAGATTACTCACTAAGATACAATGGGCTTGTACCTACACAGTTATGTTAGGCCTAAGCTGAGGGCGGCGACTAGAGGATATGTGACACCAAGTGATCTCCGCGGTGAAATGAATGCTGTAACATATCGCTGATCTTGATGGGATTTATTTATTACATTTGAAATATTTATGGCAAGATATTATCTGGCAACTACTAATGAGGGCGTTTATAGCGCAGGCTTAGCTTTATGTTTGAGTGGCATTTGAAGTTAGGTAACTATGTAGCATATGTTATATTTGGGATTACACTTTCTTAGTAAAGTACAAATTCTAGTACTTTTAGGGTTGAGTCCCATCCGGGATTCGAACCCACACCCTCAGAGTCAGGCACCAAATCGCCAGCACACACAGCAGGCAACTATGACAAACAAGTGCGGATGATCAGCTGCTTTCATATTAGTCATTATTCTGGCATATGGACATCTCACAAGGTCCTGTGTCAAGTAGACAGTTGATAAAGTGGAGTTGTATGAGTGAGTGAGTGTGGTTTTACGGCTTTTTTAAGCAACATTCCAACAATATCACGGCGGGGGACACCGGAAATGGGCTTCACACATTGTACCCATGTGGGGAATCGAACCCGGGTCTTCGGTGTAATATGCGAGCAATACCACGGCGGATGACGTCAGAAATTGGCTTTACATACTGTACCAATGAGGGGAATCGAACCCGGGTCTTCGGTGTAATATGCGAGCAATACCACGGCGGATGACGTCAGAAATTGGCTTTACATACTGTACCAATGAGGGGAATCGAACCCGGGTCTTCGGTGTAATATGCGAGCAATAACACGGCGGATGACGTCAGAAATTTGCTTTACATACTGTACCAATGAGGGGAATCGAACCTAACGAGCGAACGCTTTAACCACTGGGTTACTCCGCGCCTTTTTGAGTTGTATGAATATAGGTGCATATTGTCTGAGATTAGACGTATTATAACAAAAATCCGTGGATTTACTAAAACATACCACTTTTAATGTTAACTCATTTATCATTGGGGCTCGTAACATATATGGTCATAAAACGTACTGAGATATGAGTTTGTCTGGTCATAATCAGGGTATGCACGAGCTGGGTCAACACATAGCATCACAGGTGATTGTGCATGTATAACTGTATCTCCATATTGTTATGGGTTCTTTTCATCGTGTAACAGTAGTACATTACATTTAGAGGGGTCTGGGAAAGCCGCAGTCTGTCTCACATTATTTTCCCTAATGCCTAGCACCCCCTAAAATGCTAAAGCCCTATTTTTAAATGAAGCAAGTCTGGAATCTCCCAAACTCACTGGGGCTCCTTTTCAATTGAAATGGGTTTATTTGTTACTGTCAAAATTATATATATTCAGGGACTGAGCGTTAGTCTAGGAAAGCGGCAGTGGTGTGCTATATTTAGGCTTGTACTATATTTAGTTTTGGAGGGTACTAACTATAGGATACTACATTGTTTTTTATAATTCTTTCTCTGAATTGGTACTGCCACTGTGATTCCTTTGCAGTGATTTGTTTTAACTTGTATTAGTTAACAGTATCTTAGTATATAATTGTTAACAACATTTTGTTGTTTGCTAGTGT